CCCCTCACAAGGGTCTGATAGCACCTGGCTTTGCCTCCCAGCTCCCACTGCACTGTCACCTTCTGGTGACAAGGGGCCAAGGTTCACAGCTGCCTGTCACCTTGGGGCATCTGGTCAGACTAATACAAAAACACCATCTCCAGCTCATGTCACCACTCAACCAAAATGCCAACCAACTGCAAAACCAACATTTTTAAAGAGTCTGCTACCACCATAATTCCTTCTTGTAGGAGTGTAATTTATAACTTTGCCTGCAGTTTTAAAAAATATGCAATTAGTTTTTAACAATCACTCCATGGCTGTCTAAAAAGAGACCCTCAAACCCAATTACTGCTTTGCTGCTGAGGCCAGAGGTAGCAAAACCAGTGCACCGAAGCTCTCATCAGGAAAGGTGGTCAGAAGATATGGAAAGCAGGGATGAACACACAGGAATGCCCCCATCCAGGCACTCCAGCACTGTCCTGTGAAGTGCAATCATCATATTAGTCAAAGTCCACACACACATAGTTGTACAGGGAAAAAAAATGAACTTTAAAAAAAAATGGAATTAGCTTTTAGCTGCTAGGGACTGGAGCATGGGACTTTCAGTCAACAGGGCAAGAGTATCAATCAAATCCACCACCTTTCCAACAGCACTTATCTTTCTTCAGCCTAGAAGCTTTTTGTACAGAGACATATATTTAGATGTATTTCTAGAAGCTACTCAACACACTGAACACTGTCCAGACTACCTTCCTTAAAGCTTCCCGTCCTTCCTTTCTACACCTTCCCACTCTACTTCCATTTTCGGGATGAAAAACAAGCTTTCCCCGAAAAAAGGAACATTAACAGATTGGGTAGCACTGCCTTCTGTTTTAATAAAAGAGTGTGGACTGTGACACCTGCCTGAATGGGCCAGATACAGCTGCCCAGCACCACACCCCCTAGAGCAACAAAATCACTTTCCACTTCTCTTAGCACCAAAGAGCAGAACAGGCCACAGCACCAAACCTCTACTTGATACACACATTTTTGGAGATGCTCAGCCAGATGAGACACAGGGCTGATGGCAGCACCAGCAGGAAGGAAGGAGGAGTAACAAGTGTTACCTGAAGGAGTCACCCTGGGGGCAGAGCAGCATCCTGGTTCCTCAGCATCACTAGAAACAGAGGCCAGTCTCTCTTTCCCAGAGGCTCAAAGGATAATCCATCACAGAAGGAGACCTCCATGTACATTCCAGTGTCAGTTTAAAATCCAGTTTCCACCAGGGAAAAATGCATTTCATTGTCAAGCTAAAGCTACTTTAGGAAAAAAATTCTCAGGTTTGATCCACCCGTCAACATTTAAAATAAGGGATTGAACAATTTGGAAAGAATCCTCTTCCATGGAGACTAAAAGTGGTTCAGTTCCCTGGGAAAGTGGTCCTGCACCTCACCAGGACAGCTCCACAGCAAAGGGCTGGATCTCCCTGCACACAAGCTGCACCTTCAGTGCCTACACTTCTTTACAACTTCTGAACATAAAAAGGATTTCAGAGCTCCTTAAAATCCTTTGATGACCAAGGAGCCTCCTTTGCTCTAATGATCAAACTCAACATTCCACAGCTGGCAAGCAAAGCATTGTAGTTGACCATTTCCATACTCCCAAGTACTTCAATGAAACACCCACACAGTGACAAGAATGAGACTTTAATCAGTTTTAAGTGGAGTTTTAACACTAAGAGATAAAGGGTTGTTAAACACAATAACAAACGGACATCTGATTTGTATGAGGCATTATCCTGTACATGTCATTACTTGGGTTTTGTGTATTCTCAGTGCATAGCATTACACACAGAGCCACTGTTGCACAGCACAATAGTATTTGAAGAGGCTGAATCAGAGTAAGGCTGCTTAACAGACCGATTTTTTTTGTTGTTTTTTTTTTTTTTCTTTTAGTATCTATATATATATATGCTATATGAAAACAGACTGAAAATTTGAACTGGCAGAGAAAGGCAGCTCTGCCAAACGCTGCAGTTGGAGCCCCTTTTAGTGCACAGTTCCACCCCATCCATCTGCATGCACGACACTTTCTAACAGTATTTCCAAGGTAAACGAGGCACTTCGTGGCAACCACAGGCATTGTTGACATATTGCACACATTTGCTAGGACTAAACATGGAACTTGCACACGAGCACCCTATTTTTGTCATTTCTTCCTTTTTTGAAAGCTGAACCATTTGATGTTGCGTGTAAACTCCAGTCTACACCGTGTGCCACAGGAACGAATCCAGATGCTGTTTACACAACTGCCCTTGGACAGCTGTGGCAAATGTTTTGAGTGGGGCTACCAATGACCAGGGGATGCTCTTACCAAAGTGATGCCTTCAAGTAGTTTCAGACATGTAAGCTGTCGCACATCCAAAAAGGCTGAAGCATACAGTCCAGAAACTCAAGGAAAGATTACCTACAGAATGCAGTTCAAGCTAATGATGAATACTGTCATAAATAAAGTTTGAATAAGGACTCAAAAACTTTTCAGTCAATAGTAATTCTTGTCAACTTCTATGGGGGTGGTAACTGAAATAAAGTATAGGAGAGTATGTATAATATATATATATTTTTATATATATATATATAATATATATATAATGCTATTTTTCCATTTCCAATGACTACACCATAAAATGTAAGCAAGGCTTCTCCAAGACATCGAAACATTCAAAAAAAACAACAATAAATCAAAACCCTCATTCCAACCTTCACATTCCAAAGGAAAAAGAACAGTGCAAAAGCCCATCACGTCCTGGTTTCCAACCAGGCCCTCAGCGTTACACACCGGAACCGCCCCATCCAATTTTTGTTATCCAAGGTGGGACATACAGCAGTGTCAACATCCAAGGACTTTTAAAAGCATGAACGGTTTTGTTTATTAGCCAACACAACTTTCAACTGTTAAAAATCAGACAAGGTGAAAAACATGGTTCAAAGGGTAAGAGTTAAACGTTTATGTCCCAAGGTAACCACCTCCTGCTCATCAGTAACAGCAGGAA